GGTAACCTGAAATTGCAAACACTTTGTTGATCTTATAAGTACGCACGGCAAAACCCGAAAGTTTCTAGTGTTAGTTCTAGTTTTAGTTCTAAGTTTAGTTCAACTTTGTTGATCTGATTTTCTAGTCCTTTGCGGGGCCATGAGTGTAAGAAAGTGTAAGTAAGAAAATTCCATGAGTTTTATTTTTGCCAGCAAGTTTAGTACGCCTACCAATCGCATGCTGTCAAATGCTTTAGACAAATCAACAAAGAATATGCATGTCGGGAAATGTGTTCAACTTAATAGATTTTCCTTTTAGTTGTTTCAAAACGAATGTAGCGTCAGTTATTGAACGACCTTTTTTGGTATTTCTGAATGACACAGCACTCTATTAAATCAGCTATTTAGCAGAGCTGATTTAATTTTTCAGCTAATCAGCGTCTATGTGACCTATTCTTCTATGAATGAGTAATTCATTCGGTTATGTTGTCGGTTCCGGGAGATTTCCTCTTTTACATTTTTTTTTACTTCTTCTATCTGGACAATAATAGTTTTTGTGTGCAAAGGTGTTACTAACGTGTGTTACCTCTTCGTCTAGCAATCGAGGTGTTTCTTTCAACACTGTGAACCAAATTTAATATCTTGCACATAAGATATAAAAAACTATATTTAGGAAATACATAACATTTATTAAATTTGTTCCCTTGGTGTTTTGTGCTTCGACAAATTGATTCCTGTTTGTTGATAAGAAATGCATCATTTTCATATCGACGCATTGAAACGATCTCTTGAAACTATTTTCGCATACGTGGGTATCTCAGTTTTATAAACTTACATTTTTATCATTGTTATAGTAAAGGGGCAAAAATGGTACATCAACGAATCTGCTACTATTTGGTAGATGTTTGCATGAAAACTTCTAAATGTTCAAAGAATGTATACCCAAATAAGGCAACAGGTAAAATTTAAATGTAAGACAGCAATTATTTCAGTCCTTATTTGTAACGAGTAAATTATCGTCAAAAAGCGGTCTTTCTATTTTCAATACTATTTTGGCTTCCATATAATTCCACATATCCTCCATCGTCGTAGCGAATCTCAAAGAAATCACAACACATCCAGCATTCTTCAATAGTATTCTGGTCACTCTCAACATCTTATATATTATACATCAATATCGACCTTAATATTTACAAAACATTGTATCTGATATCGTTAATCCATAGCCTTCTCGTCGGTATCTAAATTAATATAATTAAATTAAACACTATTCTGCCTCCTCTAACATCTTTCCAATTATATAACAATGTCGTCCTTGACGTCTGTAAACATCGATCATGATAATTTTCAATATAATTCTAGATATTTCACAACATTGTCCCTAACATTCTACAACATTGTCTACGACATCATTCACTATCGTCCCTGACATTTATTAACGCAATCCCTAACGTTTCTTCCCAATGTTCTGAACTCTCTCATCACTATTTCCGTCATCTATTACTATCTCTTAACATTATCTTATATTTTCCATTGTTGTTCCTAATTTGCCATAGCTTCCTATAGGTCTGTGGAATTCTGACGACTGATCTCAGCGAATCTGCTAAACCTTTTATCAATATTGTTCTTTATATTTTTAATTATCATTTCCGACATCTTATCATTCCATATTATTCCTCAATATTGTCAGAATCATTATTAACATTTTCCTTGATATCTGTAAACATCGGTCCTGATATTTCTCAATGTCGTTGATGAGTTCTCTTAATATGGTCACTGTTATCTCTCAATATAGTCACCGCCAATAACAATATCTTCTGTATCATCTACCAAAATCTTTCTTGATATGTAAGAGAATCAGTCACTGGGAGATCTTAACATACTCACTGCTCTTAGCAGTATCCTGTTTGCATTAACATCTTCCCCAATAGCTAACATCGTTCTTGCTGTCTGTATGCAGAAATTCTGGTATTCTTCAATATCATCCTTTCTTTATCAATGATTAACAGCTGTGACAGGCTTTAATAATCATTTGGTACATCTCTTGACATTATCCCATACATATCTCATTACTATTTTAACTACCCTGAATATCTTTCCCATCATCTATCATCATCGTCCTTTATATCGCTAAACATGGTCGCTCATAACTTTTAATATCGTTCCATAAATCATACAACCATAATGTTGGCTAAAGACCAGCCATAATTAACATCATCTACAGAAGGTCATCCTTCAATACTATTCTGTGTATTCCCAAATATAGAATAATATCCTCATTGATATCTCCAAACATCGCCCCTCATATTCCTCAATCTTGTTCTTGTTATCTTGAATTATCTCCGATATCTCTTAATTTGGTCACTACTGTCCTCCAATATCCTCCATAATGTCTGCGAACACCTACGTTGATATTCTTTAAAATTATTCGTGATGTCTGTGGACATCGTCCTTGATATATTTTAATACCGTCTCTGGTCTTTCACAACAGTGATTCCGGCATTAACATAATCTCTACGATCATTATTTTTTCTATGATTAGTTCCCATAAACACTTTTCAACAATGTTCTGGTCCCTATCAACATAACTTTCATTATCTACCAATATCGTCTCTAATAACCATCTTCCACATCCCAATATGATTGTCCCTGATCCCTAATATCCTCTATAATGTCTGCGAACACTGACACTGATAGTGCTCAAAATATCATCCATGACATGTCTCAACATCGTCATCTGATATCTTTTAGTATCGTGCCTGATATTACATAACATTAACTACTGCATCCTTCAAAATCGTCTCTGATATCTTTTAGTATTATGCCTGATCTTGCATAACATTAACTGCTGCATCCTTCAACATCGTCCTTGACATCTCTTAAGATGTAACATAATCGTTACATCTTTCAGCACTGTCCTCGTCTTTTTTAATATCTTCATCGTAATTTCCCAACACTATTTAAAATATTAGCCTATTATATCCTCCATCGTGTATCAATATCGTTTGAAATATATCTATCATTCCTAACCTCTATCAAAATTCTTTCTGATATCGCCCATCATCATCTCTAATATTTCTCAATATCGTTCCTGATAACCTTGAATGTTGTGCTTGACCTACTTCAACATCTTTTATAGCATCAAAATCGTTACATATTTTAACATAACGCCTGATACGTTCTAAGACTGGTTCTAAGACACCTTATTATTTATTCCTTTTCTATATTCTCACATATGCGAACATTTTACGAAGAACACGTTTTAACATTGTGTCTGTGTGAATAATCTGCATGAACACGATAACTCAAAACCGTATTTATTAATTTATCAATGTTATGTAATATTGCCAGAAAGTTGAGTGAACGCCACCCCAGTTAATTTAATATCGTCATCGTTTATGGGTGTCCACATATTTATTCAGCTGGATGTGGTGTGAGAGCCCTCAGTTATTATATCATTTGAACTTATACTCCTTTCATCAACATGAAGTTGTAGATATTCGTCAGAAATAAAACAACAAATACAATTAATATGTTTAACGTCTTTAAGAGAGTTAACTTCGTAATGACGCAAATGTTTGTGAAATTACGAATTCATGAAACAATCAAAATTAATGAAATCAGAGTGTTTTTGGAAAAGTTTTTATTATATTGTTAAGAACTACTTTAGGTTGCAATTTTTGAATAGAAAAGTTGGGTTTCAACTGAAAATAACAACACGAATAATAACGGAGTGAGTGAGTTTATTTAGAAGTTGTTTGTAGTTTTAGTATTTTAAAAGTTTTGTAATAAACAGAATAAAGAAAAACTAAAATATGATAATGTTTTAAAATGTACAATAGTAAATGGGATAAGGCAATAAAAAAGAATACTTATGCAGTTTCTGTTCATACCGAACTTGTTTTGAATTTTATCCTGAAAATATCTATATTATGGAAAGAATTCGTTTGGTATTTTTTTGGGGTTTACAAGTCAATAGACTAGAATTCAGTGTACAATGTTCGTTACATAGTTTTGTGACCGCTGATGTACTCTGGACAACGTAATATAGTGGCGTATTGCGAAAATGCGATTTAACCGATTGTGCACGAGCGGAACATTCATTAACATCCCACCCAACGCCCCAAATCCCCCTTTAACCTAAATAGGATTTCACAACAAAATTAACCGTGCCTATTTGACAATCAGATGGTGCATGTTACGTTCTTATTGTATTATTGAACATGAATTAGATTTATATTGTTGGGAATAAAAATGTTTGCTAATTTCTGCTTTTGATTTCTTATTTTGAGTCCTTGTAAGACGAACTTTTCCTATTAATTTTGAAACAGAAACAAGCCACGTTAATTAATGTTTATGTTCAACTTAATATCCTAATTTGTATAAGATTCTCTGGTCCAATAAAAATGCAAATGCACCTAAATTACTCCTCAAACTTTCTGCATACTTAAAACTTTCGGCAGTAAATCTTAATGGGCATCCCGGCAATTATTTCTAATAACTTAATCTCCCTTATCTTTTTAAATTTCAAAATCTAATCTTTTTTCTCGCTTGAATTTTTCTCCATTTCCCTTTATTTCGCCTTTTTAACTCCCGGTGGGACGATTTCCGGGAAGTTAGCCTCTTTGCGTATCGTCTTAATAACTTGCGAGAAACAGGAAAATAATAAAATAAAGAGGAACCTTGGAGTGTTCTCCGGTATCACGTATCAATTGGTAGGGTGGAGGACGTAGACGGCACAACCATCGGTGGCCGAAAACGTGACGGAAGGTCTTTATTTAGCTCCTGCGCAGTATTAAGATGACCTTTGAGACGGAAAAGGGGGAGACAGAAAAAGAAGGAAAGAAGTGACGCCGTGGAATGCACCATGGGATTCTGATAAAACACATTTAGTCCCTTCAATTTAATTCTCACCCGGAGTTCGGGTCGCCCTTTGCAGGACTTTAGGGCTAAGCTATTTACATTATTGGGTTTGCGAGGGTAACAAAAAGGTGGGAATTGTATTGAAAAATTTTCTAAACTCGTCACAGGAATTGTAAATATATTAAGTTCAATAATTTTTACAACAATAAGCCAAGATTAAATTCATTAAAGGTTCATTTAGTATTGGAGATTCATTACTATCACTGCCACCATTGTACGTTTTCGTTACAGTTAGGATGTTGTGGTTGACGGGTGGAGCATTGTGGATAGCAGTGCGGTTGACAGTGGTGTCTAGCCCTGCAGAACGTCTTGATGGTTGGCAATCTCGGTATGATCGATCCTCTGCCGCACAATAACGAACACACTGTTTCTCTAACCGGCGGCAACTTGCTGCATACGCATTTACAATTTGGGTAGCCTTCCAATCTGAATAGGTTTCCCATCTAAAACAATCCCATTTCAAATACAAGTTTTCAACAACAAATAAAAAATGTTAAAAAAAACTTACCGCCAAACCCATAAGGGCGAATGAAATTAAAACTATCGAAAGGAACTTCATTTTTCACCTCGATTTTTCAACCTGAACAATTTCAACTTTATTTTCTCTTTATAGCAATACTATTTCAAAACAAACGTGATCAAATTGTTGACATTGCAAACATAAGCAAAAAAATAAACTTGTTCAGTTATGCGTTTGTTATGTTAAACGTATAAACAAGTGAATGAACTCAACAATGTCAATGATAGTTTTTATTTAAGTTGATGTTTTATAAACACAACGGTTTTAAAATTATTAAAAAATGTAAACAAAAAAAATTAATTCCATTTCGAGTTTTACTTTTTTTGTGGGTGCAATATGCGCATAGACGAGCGTGTAAGTCGTTGGTTATGTGAGCAGTAAAAATATAGGGGGTTTGTTAGGATCGCCCTAACAAGCGAATAACGCAGTGGAAAGTTGCGTCATTTCCGTCGTAAACCCGCGAAGTTGGTCTCGTAAAGCAGCAGGAACAGGCCGAGCAGAGAAATAAAGAGATATTAAGACCGTGAGAGCCTTGAGATACTTTCGGGGCGATCCAACGAAGGCCGTATAATAAAAATGAGACGTGCTGTTATTTTTTTGGGAAAGGAGGGTAAGAGTTATGGTATTGAAAATTATTAACGTTTGAATTAACTTCAACTGTATAAATTCTTGGTATTTTGATTTATATCCCTACGTTGTAAATTCATATAAAACGTTAAAAAGCAAACATAAAAACCGTTCTCATAAATTTACAACGCTTCAACGAGTAGAAAATATCATTCCAGCAATGGGAATACTACTTACTATAGTTGTTTCATTAGATCAAGTCTCAAAGCTTGGTATAAATCTTAAAGGCGGCGTCTAGGAACGCTAATTCTGTTGGAAAGCGCACTAGACGGTCTCCGCGAAACAACAAAGACGCATTAATCTGAAAAGTATGTTGAACTTGTATAATTTGAACTTTGACCCGAACGACAAACAGTAGTAATAGTATGAAAGCACCGTTCAAGTTTCGTTTATTTTAACTTCAAATAACAGATATATTAATGTTCCTTTAGAATGACTAATGTTGCTCGGAAAAATTTTCAATTTTCAGAGGAATCATCCCGGTTCTTCGTAACTTAACGAGTTATTACTTTTCCTCAATACATTCTTTCGGGGAACGACCAAAATGGAAGTTGTTCGAAATGAAAGAGGAGAGCTGTGTTGTTTACCCCTCTAGGTTCGGGTCCTAACGAATTTGAACGTCGCGCAATATCTGTGCGGCCTCTTCCTTGGCACATTAACTTTACGAGCTCGTTCGCGGAATTACCGACGACGACGGGCTCGAATAAAAAGTAAAAGCCGCAAGGACGTCGCGGGCGTACCGCACACATATTGGACTCATAGAATGATGGCAATAAAATTTTATTATCTGGGGAACACGCCGGGTTGTCAGCGTCACGGACAACAGCCCCCTTCTCTCTCTAACCCACCACAGTCCCCGTACTAGTATCGAGGGATGTGTACCGGTGGTGTACACATTCGACCCAATCCGCCACCCTTCCCAAACCAAACCCTCAATCCCAAACCTCCCCATTTCCAAACAGAGCCAGACGTCAATCCACTATCCGACCTCGACCCATGGAATATACCTACACATACCTCTAATGGTGACATACGACCCAATAACAATTTTGTACGTATACCTAGGGGAAAGTTAAGAAAATTTTATGGGATAACCCACATTAAATTTATAACCAACATAAGGATTTAATTGAATTTAATGATCTTTATTATTATTTCGAGAAAATCATGACAAAAGTTTCCTTGATGAAAATTAAGGGTGTTGCCGCTTACTCACTGCAGTAATTATATACATATACAATGTTTTATCTCCGTAATCAGGGGTTAAATTGTAATCTACATTAACAAATGCAGTTTTTATGGACTATTTATGCTGAGTTTACAAAACAATAAACTGACCGCAAATTGATTAGTTCTATTGCAAGAAATCTAGGTCATTAACAACTACTGTTTATAAACGTTTTAATTAAATCACGTTCACTTATAACAAGTTGAATTACTAAAGTATTAGTTACATTTGTCAGAATTATATATTTCACTACATTCGTAAAGTTTAGTATGAAGCTGTTAACTTAAAATTTTAGATTTATATGAGCTTTTGAGCCAAGTCAACCAACCCTTTTCTCCAAAGACTTCGAAGAAGTGATCCACACTACCTCAACATAGCAAATTACTCATTTGAACGAGTACAAAGCGTCATATATTTGAGTGTCAGAGTAAACGAAGTTAATAATCTCGTTGAAGAAATACTTAGCGGCAATACTAGGCCTACAAACGCCTAATGATGAGTAAAATAGATCGGAATCTCAAAATTTATCGCACTATTATAAAACCAAGAACAACATATAGATGCAAAGCATGAACCATGTCGAAAAGAAATGGAAAATTAAGAGTCTTTGAAAGAACGATCTTAAGCAAGATATATTGAGTGATACAAAATAATGCTGGAATGTGGAGAATAAGAATGAATCAGCATTCTTGAGCATTCATGAACTGGAGTAAATTGGACCAAATCATGGATGGTACAGACATAGTACGACACATAAAAGCACAGTGAATATCATTGCTAGGACATCTGGCAAGGATGCAGGATGCAGACTGAGATGTAAAGAATTGTAGAATGTACAGCGCAGGAACTGAGAGCTAGTGTAAGACCAAAGAAACGATGTAATGAAGGACACTTGACAGTGATCCAACTATTCTAAAGAGGAAGTTTCACAGATGCAGTTGCTAAAACTAAAGTGGAGTTTCCTGAAAAGTGAAAATAAAGTGAAAATAAAGTGAAAATCTTCTTGAATATCCCACAGTAGATAAAAATAAAGAGAGAAATTGTATATCTTGAAGTATCGTTTAATGATAAGCTAATTGCAGATAAACAAGCCTGCAAACAAGCTAAATATTACGAATAAAGCAGAAAACAATCTATATTTTGTCGCAAGAATAACATGATCCATAATTACACTACAGCTAACGCTTGGAGAGGAAATTCTGCGAAGCTACAACAATGTGAATAATTTGGAATCCTACAGAAATTGAATTACGCGTGCTTTGTGTGAACGTATGCTTTGAACTACAGGTAATATTTCTGGAAATCAGGCATCCTGGATATGTTTGACTAGAACGAATCATAAAAACTCTTTTATAGTATTAGTAGTGTCTTTGTCCTGTTGAAACCAGATATTCTAAGTGTATCATTCATTTTTCAAAGTTTATGCAGCATAGCTAGGTAGTTATTATTCCAATGTTTGACAAAGCACAACACACCGTAGTTTTGTTCGATGTGACGATCAATACAAATTCATTTTGAAGAACTGTTGAACATTGTGAGTTGTAAATTTTAAATGTTTTTTCATAATGGTTTGAATGATCCAACGTAGAGTTCTAAGTGTTTCGGCACGGTGTGTCATTGAACGTCGTGAGCTTCCCTCAATGGATACTTTGAATCGATCCATATTCCCTTGAGGTGGCAAATCAGTTTGAACAGATGTTAATATACACTTAGAAATCGAGCGGTTTCTGTGTAAGTTGCACTCGGAATGAGGTTGAAATGTGTCCGATTAGCGCCTAGTGTGATCGCAAAATAGTCACGCCTTCACAGCTACAGAATGACAAGTTGAGAGATCTTTCGCCACCCACCCACCCTGAACCATATATTTTATAAATATGTTCATATGGTCTCCGTCACCTTGTATGTAACAGTTTATACTACATTTAAATTTAAATAAAGGCTTTAAATGAAAACCGTAATCAATTCACTTTTATGATAGACTACACTTCATGAAGATTCCCCTTTTTGTAAATTATGCAACATATAATGTGCAGAGGCAAAAGTTTTTATGTTTTTTTACTCGACTATACCATTTTTTTATAAATAAAATATGTATCCTATTCCTTGTTCGTGAATTGTAACGTGTTTTTGATGATCTAACCTTAAGTACTTATATGTTTTTGTAAACCTGTCTAAAACTAAAAACTTTGTAAAACAAGTCTGTAAAAGTTGTTTGTAGTAATGTCGTAACATTAGGATGGTGTAAATTCAAACAAACTTGAATAAATCCGCCTCTATAAATTTCTCCAATCAAAAATATATTGATTGGTTATTTAATTAGTCTAAAAAACCCCTTTTGTGATAACTGCATATATCATATAACCTCTTACTCTGCACTTATGCAGCCGAATATACAAGGATATTCATAGCACAGAAACGAATTATTAAGCTAATATTTGATTTTTTCGAACGTAAACGATATGAAGATCTAATTTTTGAACATAGATTGATCCAATATTTTTACATTAAACACAATAATATAAAAATATTAAAGTCGTTAACACGTTGACGTTTTAATCGTTTCTGCTAATTCTCTTTAGTAACATTTTACTTGTTACATTCATTTCTTAATGATAGACACAACGTAAAAATAAGTTTTTAAATAAAACTTTAGTAGTAATAAAGCTTTCTTTAAATAAAAAGATCTTGATTCCAAACGGGTTTCCACACCGTTCCTATACACCATCCTATACAAAGACAATATGGTGTTATCAAATGTCGCAAAATAGAGATATTTAACTTTAAAAGTTGGCTATTATAATATGCTCAAATTCAACGGGGATGCATAAGTTAACAGTGATTGAAAATACTATAGAAATAAAATTATTTAAATGGACAGAAGTTAGAAACTTTCCAAGTAATTATTATTACATATCATTCGACAGTTTGGATGCACCAAATTAAACTTTAATATAAAGACTATAAAGACATTAATATAAATATCTACATTTTCCGTTTCTATATTCCTCAATATTAATATAGATATAACGCGCCATCTATCGCTCATCTTTTTTATCGCTCACCCCTTCTTAGATTCACTACATACCACCAGATGGTGCCACAGGAATTTTTAAATTTTCGTATTTTAAATTTCAAGCGCTAAGACGTCAGGAGCAAGGAGCAACTTCCGGTCTACAAAAATCACCAGATTCTAGCTACTTTTCCAATGCCAACCTAAATCTAGTTACTTGTTTGTCCCCCAG